TGTTATTTATTCATTAGTACATTTTGACGCGATTCGTGCGTTGCGGAGAGCGCGGTTCTCGTAAAGAGACTCGGGGGGCCGAGGATGAGCGCGAAGACAAATCGCTTTTTCCTCCGAAAATTATTAATCGAGGACAAAAATTTAGTAGAAGTGATTCTTTGAAATTGTCCGATTGATTATTCATTTACTTGGTATCTAGGATTGTAGATGGATGTTATTTACTTTTGTATCAAATTGTGACACGATTCGTGCGTTTCCGTAAAGAGACCCGGGCGGCTATGGATGAGCACGAAGACAAATCGCCTTCTTCCCTGAAAATTATTAATCGAATCCGGGATTTGATTTTGTTATTTATTCATTAGTACATTTTAACGCGATTCGTGCGTTGCGGAGAGCGCGGTTCTCGTAAAGAGACTCGGGTGGCCGAGGATGAGCGCGAAGACAAATCACTTTTTCCTCTGAAAATTATTAATCGAGGAAAAAATTTAGTAGAAGTGATTCTTTGAAATTGTCCGATATCTAGGATTGTAGATGGATGTTATTTACTTTTGTATCAAATTGTGACACGATTCGTGCGTTTCCGTAAAGAGACCCGGGCGGCTGAGGATGGGTGCGAAGACAAATCGCTTTTTCACCAACTTTTAAAAATGATAATTCGACAAGAAATGAATGAAAAATGTGAAACGTAAATGAACGAAAGGTGGATTAGATATTGAATTAACGTTTATTCGGCTGGATTTTATTTATATATATGTTTTTATTGAATTATGAAGGTACTCGTGCGTTGCATAGGAAAGAGCCCTTATTCCTAGTTGTTAGGGGAATGTAACCTTCCATCGTTTCCAGGTTATCGCGCGGATATCTTCCCCTATCGTCTTCCGACCTTATAAATCACGCGACCCACTCCCAGGGGTTATGTACACGTATGTACAAACTACATATATATCATTACGACCCCTACTTTCATCGCTCTGCAGGAGTGCCTTTCTTTTAGAAATCTGTAAGTAGGAAATGAAATCTCCAAGATCTCGTAGTAATTGATTGTTACGGATAAAAGAATTTCTTCCCCTTTGTTTACCACTAATGATTAAGCAACGAGTATTCGAGACATTTTCAACATACTTGGATTAAACAAATCATCGGACAGGTGTCATCCACCTGTGCATATATGTACATGTACCCACGTGATCCAATTTTTCTCTCATTTCTCGATATTCCTTGAATTCCAATAAATTCGGAATTATCGGACAATTCCAATGCGACCATTTTTCCAAGAAGCGACAAGACCCAGTCTTTCGTCTTATGAATCATAAATCGTCAGAAAGATAACGCACGTTATTTTCAGCGTACAGCTGTACGAGTGATCGTACTTCCTCGACAGGTGTATTTATACCCTGACCTTCTTTTATTCACGTTTCCACCTGACTATGGAAATTTACCCCGTCGTTTATAAATTACAAAGCACAAATTATCATCTACTAACAAGTATTTCCATAACACGTCTCGCGGCATCGATTTATGCAAAATGTGCCGATAATTATGAAAGTGGCCTAATACATATTTTTCTTTTTTTTTCCCTCTTTTTTTTTCTGTTGCGGAACTAACGCCACGTCGTTGCATATATCGCAAAATGTAGGATAAATTCATTTTCTTGTATATTGTGCAACTTAGACCACTTTTGGTAATATATATGTTTGACACGTTGTACGATGGAAATTATTTCTCTTATAAATTCATGCAGCAAGTTGCTAATAAAATATGGCCGCCAGCGTGATAAGGCTTTTCCATGGATCGATAAGAGCCCGTCCCTTCGATTTGTTTACCCTGGCATTATCACCGGATATGTCGCTTCGAAGTGTCTCTAGGTTCGAGGAAGGGCGAGGCCTTTGCGTGACTCATCTATCGATAACTGAATCGATCAATCGACATCCCACGGACCGATGAGCACCGTCGAGCGAAAAGCCGCTCCCTCGGCGGGCTTTAATATGGCCGGCTTTATCTCTTATCACTTGGCCCGATATCGTCGCGCCAAGTGCTCAGGAAATCCACCGAGCTCCTATTTTTTCAATGAAGGGTTTTAATCGATTCTCGTTTCGCTTCCTCCAGGCTTCGTGTCCGTTTTCAGGTGCTCTTCTTTCTTGTTCATCTATCTTGCGAAGTCGCGACGTGACTCGCTATGTACGTATGAGTTTTGCCATTTATCTGGAATTCTGATAACAATAGTTTTTGTCGCTCGTTGAGGAAGTACCGTGAGATCTTCAGATGTTGTTCCCATTTCTTGAGGAATTGTGGTTAAACCGCACGATTTTTTATGTTTGTTACTGAGTTGCGATGAAATTCTGCAGTTTTTGCCATTTGTTCCGGAATTGCGATGAAAATTTTCCTCCTTCGATTCGGAATTCTGATGGGAGTCTTCACTGTTAAAAAGTACCTCTTTGAAAAACAGTGTCCGCTTGGTAGAAATTTTCTTTTTTTATGATATGAGCCGCTCAGTGCACACATCGACTAACTCCACTTTTTGAAAAATCTTAAATTTAGGTGTCAAAGCACTTGGTATAGTCATAACTTTTTATATTTATAATATCTTTCCTGATTAATAGNCTTCTAATTATTAAAATCTGTATGTAGTATACCTATCTCTACGAAACCCGACAAATTGACGGACTAGCTAATTTCATAAACAATCCATATATATTTGCTTCGTCAAAGTTAGATCTCACGTCGGTTCTTCCTGATCCAGGGAGCCGTTTAAAATTTCGTCTTCGGTTTTCTTTTTATACCACTGTATTTATGTATTCTACATTATATATATTAAGTTATATTATAATAGGAATTTTAAAAAAGAATCTACATTACTTCATCGCATTTCTAAACTTTTTGTTTTATGGAGTTAATCAATGTGTGCACTGAGCGGCTCATATATCGAAACACTTTCTGTTCGTTTATGTTCGAAGTATCGAACCTCTTAAACGGCATTAAGGCATGAAATTTATAATTTCAGTACGGCGATAAGTGTATGAATTTTATGAATATTTTGAATAATCTGACTGTAAATTATGCACCCCGAGGTGTCTGACATTTCTTCCACTATATACCATATCCTGACATAGTTTTCCAACCTATAGTTGAGCGAAAGGTCATCATCGTGGTCGTGCCTCTGAAGAACAATTTGTCCTCAATTCCTGGTGATCTTTAGGGTGATCTTTGAGAAATTAATTGCTCGACAATTGAAGTATAACGAATTATAACACTCGAGTGACGGCATCGCTTAATTCACGATTATGTTAGAATTTCGCTCGCGCGGAATTAAATTCCGCGTTGGGGCAAATCAGGAGAAAAAATCAAGTTGCTCGGTATTATTATAATCTCGACACTTTTTCGCTGTGGTAAAGGTGCAGAAAAAAGAAAAGAGGATTTCAGACTGGGCTTTGGAATATCTAATCGTACAGGGGTTCGATATTGAGGTGGATAGATCTCGATGCAGAAATAGAATACAAACTGACGTATGTGCCGCTAATAGTGCCATATCACCGCCTGTAATAACGTTTCTTCCGCCGACATTTTCCTCGCGTTTTACGCACCCGTTACGTCAGCAGTAACTGCACCATGTACAGGTTAACCCCTTCTTCCATAATACCGAGTTACACTTACGTCGAACGTGTTAAAGGCGATTTTATCGGGACATGGTTACGGAAAAAAGAAACATCATTTAGCGGACCGTAATTCCAAGATGGACGCGACTAACCTTGATTTTCCTAATTAACGATCATTTACATTTTTTTTTTGCTGGAGCATTGAGATAAAGAAAAAGAAGAAAAGCCTCACCGGAATTGCAGAACGAAAGCGATAGATTTCCATTTCTCGAATTACTAAACTTAAATCCCGAATATTTTACTTTGCATAAATATAATTATTTTCTTCGGGAAGCAAAACTTGAAATTTCCTCCTCGAAAGTTGCATCTCCTCGAAAATCATTTTCAACGTTGTAAACTCCGAAATAAAGTGATCAGAGCTGGATTTCACGTCGGTTCTTCCTGATCCAGGGAGCCGTTTAAAATTTCGACTTCGGTTTTCTTTTTATACCAACTTCAGAATAAAATGATGAAAGTTCGATTTTACATCGGTTCCTCTTGATCTAGGGAGTCGTTTGTAATTTCGTCGTCGGTTTTCTTTTTATACCAGCTGCAAAATAAAATGGTCAAAGTTAGATTTTACGTCGGTTCCTCTTGATCTAGAGGGCCGTTTGAAATTTCGTCTTCGGTTTTCTTTTTATACCAGCTATAAGGCCCAGACCTCGTTACTTGGCACGACTCGCAGCGGTTTACGGAACGACCGAGGCTGGTCTTGGGTGCAAACTTGGTTTTATGGGAATGAGTTTGCGTAAACAAACGTGCCTTTGCACCTAATGGCACGTGTTCTGCGTGGGCGCAAACCGCACGGAATTTTCGGTAACGCCGATTCGTGACGTCCGAAGGCATAAAAAAATCAACGGGAAAGAAGAGTTACCGCTGAATAAATTGCACTCTTTCATATCATTTTATACTAATTTTAGCTTGAACCGCGGATCTTCGGTCCCCTGCCAACATTTTAGCAAGTTCGTTGGAATATTCTCTTTCAAATGTAAAACACACGTCGTCACCTTTTCTATTCTCGAGACAAGAGAAAGCGAATTTCAGGATTTTGTACCACATGTTTAAAGGAAATGTCAAAGAACGTATTTCTTTTTTTTTTTATTTTAACGTATGGGTGATATCGTAAATGCGACCCGGCACGAATCAGAAACGCGTCGGCCATTGATGTATGACGAAGGAACTGCTCACAGGACTCGGCTGGATGTATTATTCGCATTATACACACCTACACGCGTCTCCTCGTCGGAGGCGCAGCTGTAAGAGGGACTCATCGATAGGTGCGGACCTTCGTGTGGGGATAGAAACGAATGCGATAGTCCGGTAACGAGCACGAGGCGTTGCTTTTGGCAGTTAGCCTCGTGCCTTTGCCAGCTACTCGTCTACTCACCTTTTCTTCGGACTTAGACGGGATTTCCGATACCATGTCGGCACGAATCGGCCGCGATTGACACGAGGAAATATCCCATCGAATGTATCGAAATTGTGTCCGGCCATGACGCCGCTTTTTGGGGAATCGCTGGAAACCCGGGGAGGAATCCATCCCTGGACTCGCTCAAGACAGAAAGAACGATTCGTCGACCTCTAGTTGAACTAGAAAATTGAAGATCGATTTAATGATCCCCTTAATGTTATAAGTAAACGGTGCTAAAAGTTCGCGGATTAAGTTTCCGGCTCTCATTTAATTAGGCGGGAAGTTCGGAACAAGTCATGGAAATGTTTCGGAATTATCTGACCCGGTAGTCGAGCTGAGGAAGCTTCCGCGGTAATTATAATATAAACACTTTTAATATACTTAACAGTTTTCTGATTTTATAAGCCGAACGTTTTAACGTCACAAGTGAGTCAGTTAGATTACCATACGTTTCGTATGAATCTTTAAATCAATCTGCAATCTTTTAACACTAGGTTTACGGGACCCGTCAATTTGACGGAATTCAAACTTGAAAAAGAAATACCGAAGAAACCATAGCATTAATTTTAACCATTTTTGTGTCGTAAATTAATCATTTCATCCAAAGAATTTGTACACGCAATTATTTTTTCCTAAGCCTTTTAATTATTAAAATCTGTATGTAGTATACCTATCTCTACGAAACCCGACAAATTGACGGACTAGCTAATTTCATAAACAATCCATATATATTTGCTTCGTTGCAGTGAGTGTTAAGCGAAGATGAGAGTGAAAGTTTGCATTGAAAGTGGAGAAATAGAAGGATCTTCGGATAGTGAAGAGGAAAACTTCTTGAAAGGGTGTCGTAGCAAGAAAAGGATGCGCATTCTTTCTAGTTCTGACTCCGAGGATGAGAGGACGAGCATTCCAATCATTTCCGTGTTAATTTTTAAAAAAGGACTTTTTACTTATTAATCATTTATTTAAACGTAAAGCTTAGGGTTGTTTAATACAGACCTAATTTGAATAAATCGATTTTTTTTTAAAGAAAATGCGTGTTTTCGTTTACCCGTCAATTTGACGGGTGCTCGTAGAAAAAGGTATATAAAAAACGCCCGTAAACCTAGTGTTAATATCATGGCATGATTTTGTCCAGTCGCGTTGAGAAATTATTACGTACTAAATTTATGATATTTATGATATTTATAAAATATATATATGCAATGCTATAAAGTTATGAATAAAGGAAAACCGACGTGGAAATTGACAAAACGGAAAGACAACGTGGACTTGTTCTTGGCAGCTGGCCTCATACAGCTGCCAACTTTTCTTCGATTCACTTTTTTCTCTGTTTAAACGTGCTCTTGTCTTGCAAAACAATTATTCTGACAAATGTCGAGATCCCCTTGGCGAGCAATGCCGATAAAAGGATTATAATGTCGACTTCTCGTGTTCTGAAAAATGTAAAAGGTGCATTGCACCGAATATTTGATTTTTTCATACGTCACTGATAAGACTTCCTCAATATTTCATTTTCTATGGACTATATACTATATAATCATTCCACTCAACCCGTGCTTTGCATACCAAAAGTCAAACAATAATCACTTACTGAAAAATATATTTAATTCTTTCTTTATTTCCTTGAATTATTTATTGTATAATAAGTGAAGCAGTTGAAAAATGTTTGTTTTGCATTCTCTACGTGGGATATTACCGATGTTGGGAATTAATTATAAATCAGCTATAACTAAATTATGATACTGATAAAAAGAAAATCTGCGAACGAAAAAAATGTTTTGTTAATTCAAAGAATAATTATTTCACTCAAATAAATTGTCATCATTCCGAAGAAAAGTTGTGTCCAATTTATTCGAGCTTGTTCGAACCAAATTTGAATAAAGAAAATATTTCTTAGGTACTAATAAAAGAAATATTTTTCTACTTCAATGAGATTTCTCTCTCAACGTGAGAATCCGTCGATTTGACTGAAATCAGAATTTTTTCATGGGGTTTAAGTTGAATGAAAAATTCCGCAGAAGCTTCCAAGTATATAAATAATTCCTCCATCGTTGATTGTCCTCCCACACTCACACCAAAAATAAAGATTCATCGAACCAAAGAAAGATTTCGTTAATTTGAAGAATAATTATCTCTTGTAAATAAACTCAAATAGAGTGTCATAATTCCAAAGAAACGTTGCATCTAGTTTATTCGAATTTATTAGTGTCAAGCAATTATTCCTTGAATTAAAGAAATATTTCTCTGGTTCAATGAGATTTGTCTTTCTCAGTCCATTGATAAAAGCGGTTGTAAAATCGCAGAAAATGGCCGCATCGAGGATTTTCGCGGACTCGTCGGATCTTCTTTCCTGGAGACGTCACGTGGGACGATGTCTATAATCGGGAGTATCATTATCGCCGGCATTCTAAGGACAATTCTTTGATAAGGGAACTAACTCAGCGCCGTTTAAATACAATGGCAGTAGCTAAACGAGGATAATATCGTGAAGAAGGAGGCTCATAAGAACTGTTCCCAACGAGAAGATATACTCGAGGTGAAACGCCTCGAGTTAAACAACTCACAGTTGTAAGTCATGAGTCATGGAAAAATGTGTAATTTACCTCGTTACGTGATGTGGCAAACAGCTGAGATAAAAGTGTGACACAGACAGATAGAGTAAACGACGTTTCGACGGTGTCATTGCCCAGCACTTGTTACCTCATTGCTTCTGGTGCGTCGCATGATAATGTAATCAGACTAATGAAACTGTTGGACTTGTTCTCGTTACTGAAACAAGAGTTGAAAAGTGTTAGACATGTGTTTCTTGATTTTTCTCACGATGCGTTTCATTAAAATTCTCCCCGTTCAAGCGTCAAATATTTCTTTCATTATTTTCTCGACGAAGCGTTTTGTGAATATTTTCCCCGCTCTTAAAACAATATGTTAGAGGGGATTCCTTTATTTCGGAACCTCGGGTAATGAAAGAACTCCGATTTACGTGGTTTAATAACCGGCGTTATTTCAGATTGGTGGGAATTTTCCATCTTTCAACTTTTTCGGGGAAGTGCATTTTTTGCGGGTTTTATACTTCGACGAAGTTAATAATTCATTCGCTGTGATAATAGCTCGCTGATTTATGTGCATGTTTAAAATATGCTTCAGATACAGTTTATTAACATTTTTATGCGACATTATTGATATAACATTTTAGGCCCCTTCATTACAGGAGAACCTCGGTTAAAAAGCCTCCGATTTTCGAAATTCAATGAGCGACATTACTGTAAACTCTGCAGATTTTTTTTCAGCTTTCAAGTTTCCTCTTCGTGGAAATGTACATCTTGTTGATTCAATAAAAAAAAAAAAAATTGATTTAATACGTCGACGAGCCTCGATTGAGAAACCTTCGATTTTTTTTCTTTCTTTTTTTAAGATATAATGAACGAAAATTATTGCTATAAAATGACCGTGAAATCGTTTGCAGAAGAATTGTCGGATTTCCCTTTTTATCCATGTTTTTTTTTTTCCGACAATAATATTTTTCCTTGACGGAATACGTCAGCGTTAATTATTTCTCCTCTTTTATGAAAACAACTCGCTATTAGTACTTGCGTGTTTAATGTGCGCCTCTCTTGATGCACATAGGATTGCATACCGCGATTAGATATGCACTTATCTGCACCGCGTACACTACGAGTTTCGAGGTATTATTATATACGCTTTGTACTTTATGATGTACGTGTGGAATCGATCATAACAGAACTACGTTGGAACTGGTCATTGTCAAGGAAAAGTACGCTTAGAAACGCGACATTTACTGTCCACGTGATGCAAGATGTCTATATATATACATCTACATATATATAAATGTCAATAAATCAATGCCACGTGGAACAATTTCGTGAACCTGTTCCTTCCGGATTTTAAATGTTATACTCAATAATGAATAAGGAAATGATTTCGGATCAACAGCTTACCACGTGCACTGAGCGAAAGAAATACTTTCTACGCAGAAAATGAAAATGTTCACTGTACCAAAGAAATTTTTCGTTAATTCAAAAAAATAATTATCCTATTTAAACTCGAAGAAACTGAATGCAACATTTGAATGTAGTAAAGTTTCTATTCGTCCGAAATATTTGCTAAATACTCTTATTTCTGACTTACACCGGTAAATGTTGACATTCACCGGTGTGTGATTGTCGACACACACTGGAGAGGGTCCGAATGTACAACAATGTAATGAAATATTCGATCTTTCACCGACGTATTTGGTATCTGTTGACATTCACCGGTGAAAGTCGACATTCTCCAATTTCGGTCAGTCACCGTAACATACATACCCTTAAGGTGATACATTTTTTCGTGAAAAATGGAATTTCACGAGCATAGCGTTCTTCCTTAAGGCCTCCATAATCACGTGTTAAAATTTCAAGTGATTCGGTGCACCCAATTTGAGGAAAAATCTTATAAATATTTTCACGTTTTATTTGTATAGAATGACTCTCATATCACCTTAAGTACTCCTTGATTAACTATTTTACCTGGAATGTTGGAGCTACCGGTAAAAGCTTAACCTTTCTCCATACCTCGGTTTCCTGCTCACTTTTAACAGCCCAGTTCTCCGGTTTTATGAACGAGGTCAAGGAATCCCTGAAACGGCAACAAATGCATATCTCGATTAGACATATCGTTAGCATAACGCGGCTGATATTCGAAGATCTACGTAAGACGAAAAAACGCCGAATTAACCTATTCGGGATCGCTTCCAGGCCCCGGCTCGACCCATGGAACCATCGCCCAATGGGAGTCCCCGGATCCAGGGCCCTCCGAGGCCCTTCATGCCAGCGGACCTCTCTTCCATTCCCCATATGGACGGCACCCCTCTTCAGGGCAGTGGCCATGACACCACCGACGGTGCCAAGGGCGGTTCACAGGTAAAATTCAATTTTTTACATACAAAACGTTTCTAAAAAATGGAATTTCATGGGTGTAGAGACCTTCCTTAGGGCCTGCTTAACCACGTGGCAAAATTTCAAACGATTCGATACATCCAGTTTCGAGAAAAGTGTCACGAACGATTTGACTCCTCGCCTTAACCCCTTAACTTGTGCGCTCGACTTAATTCGAGCACGCTAAACAAGCCAAACTGTGCACACTCAAGATAATTCGAGCGGCATTGTATTCTATGCTACTATAATTTTTCACCCTCGAATATAATCGAGAATTTTATTTTTTTGCCAAGACAATGTTCTAGTGTTTTTCTTTTTACATAAAAAAAAATGATTTTTTTGTAGGTTTTTTTTCTCAAAAAATCTGGGCGTTAAGGTGAAGTGAAACACGTCGAGGAACTTCCTCGACGTCGATAAAGAAGATTTTTCTAAATCCCTACGCTGCCGACGTTCGTTTTTATATTGACAGCTGGGTCGAATTATGTCGGGTATTGTATCAAATGGCATACTCCACCTGTCGTTTTGGAAATAATTATAAAGAAATCGAAGTAAAACTCCAGAAATCCTCTGGATTCATGCCTTCTGGGGCCCTAATTGACTGCAGAGGGACCCCCTGCGCCATCTGTGATTTCCAGGTCAATTAAATTTTCACTCCGAGACCTCGTATTACCATCGTTTTGGCATAGAAGCGTGTACAACACTTTTTTTGCCCTTATCCCGTTCAAATGTGAGTTTATCGACTATCGAAGTGTTCTAAATTGTCGTAAAATTGTCCTGACCCTTTCGATTCTCATATCAGAGCCTTCGATAATTATATACTGATCGAGATATGAGAGATCGACGCCATTTTGGTTCTGGTCTGGGGTGAGTTAAAAAATTCTTTTGAAAAATCCAAATGTTGAATGTGTCAGGACAATTCTTAGATGATCAGGAGTGATGTGTCTAAGTTTCGGACAGTTTGGTCTGATACCCTTAAAAAGAAGTGTTGTATTCGAATCGATTGATTTGAAGGAGGTTTCACTTCACCTTAACCCCTTAACTTGTGCGCTCGAGTTAATTCGAGCACGCTAAAGAAGCCAAACTGTGCACACTCGAGATATAATTCGAGCGGCACTGTATTCTATGCTACTATAATTTTTCACCCTCGAATATAATCGAGAATTTTATTTTTTTGCCAAGACAATGTTCTAATGTTTTTCTATTTACATAAAAAAATTGATTTTTTTTTTCCGGGTTTTTTTTTTCAGAAAATCTGGGCGTTAAGGGGTTAATTTTCTAACTTCATTCACAGGAGCCGGGGCCGGGTCCAGGTTCTGGTCCGAGCTCGGACTCGGGCCCATATATCGTTGGTAGCCCCATAGACCTCGGTGGCATCGACAACGTCGACAACATAGGCTTCCACCTGCAACCCCTTCAACGGCTGCGAGGAAGGAACCGCGAACACATCGAACTGCGAGAAACGGAACCGTCGGGGTGCGAAGGTAGGTCAGGGGAGATGGGTCAAGGCGAGTGGACTCGCGATGTCGAATGCCGGATCCACGGAGATGTCATGGAAAGGAGGAGGAAACAAATTTGCGGATCGAAACGCGGTGAACGGTTCGCTGGGCTAGGTCAGGGACGGCAGGTCGATACGAGCAGGTCCAAAACGCGCATTCGAAACGAGGGCCGGCTTTAAGGTGAAGTGAAACACGTCGAGGAACTTGATCGACGTCGATAAAGAAGATTTTTCTAAATGCCTACGTTGCCGACCGTCGTTTTTATATCAACAGCTGTGTCGAATTCCATTGAATATTGTACCAAATGGCATACTGCGCCTGTCGTTTTCGTACAATAATTATCAAGAAATCGAAGTAAAACTCTAGAAATCCTCTGGATTCATGCTTTCTGGGGCCCTAATTGACTGCAGCGGGACCCCCTGCGCCATCTGTGATTTCCAGGTCAATCAAATTTTCACTCCGAGACCCCGTATTACCATCGCTTTAGTATAGAAGCGCATACAACACTTTTTTTGCCCTTATCCTGTTCAAATGCGAGTTTATCGATTACCAGAGTGTTCTAAATTGTCGTAAAATTGTCCTGACCCTTTCGATTCTCATATCAGAGCCTTCGTCTGGGCTGAGTTAAACAATTTTGTTAAAAAATCCAAATTTTGAATGTGTCAGGACAATTCTTAGATGATCAGGAGTGATGTGTCAAAGTTTCGGACAGTTTGGTCTAATACCCTTAAAAAAAAGTGTTGTATTCGAATCGACTGATTTGAAGGGTGTTTCACTTCACCTTAAGGTGTTATGAAAGGATCACTTCATATATGAATACAAGTTTTCTCCAAACTGAGTGCACCGAATAATCGGAAACTTTAATACGTGATCGTGGAGGCCCTAACGAAGCTCTTGAAACTCAGGGAATTTAATTTTTCGAAAAAAAAAAAGAATGTTTGTTTCTTTTGGCCCTTGTTCGGANAAACACCGAAATCTGAAGAATGTCGACTTTCACCGGTGAATGTCAACATTCATATAGTCGCTTAGTGTATGTCCGAAATATTTGCTAAATACCCTTATTTCTGACTTACACCGGTAAATGTTGACATTCACCGGTGTGTGAGTGTCGACACACACTGGAGAGGGTCCGAATGTACAACAATCTAATGAAATATTCGATCTTTCACCGACGTATTTGGTATCTGTTGACATTAACCGGTGAAAGTCGACATTCTCCAATTTTGGTCATTCACGGTAACATATATACAACCGATGATTAAATTCTCTGCGAATTAATGGAAATTCCATTCCTTCGATAACATTTATGATATTTCCAATAATTCTAACAAACGATGAGTGATTATTATTATAAAAAAAAAAAAGAAAAACATTTAAAATCAATTACCGTCCACCACAAATTTCTGACACATATTGTAAATTTTATTTAAAACTACGTTATATAAATTACGTGTGCCGGGGTTAATACAATTTTCAACAAAAGCGTTATAAAGTGAGAGTAATTTATTTATTTTTTTTTCTTTTTTCTGACAATGCAGTTCTCCAACGCGACTAATGGGATCCCCGTCGCACTCGACGCGACACCTGACGCGCCCAGTGGGACTCTAGAGTCTAAAATCCATCTCGTCTCCCGGAGCGCTCGTCCTTGGCCTCGCCTCGCAAGTGTGCTTATCGATAACGACGCGCACCACCACCGCCACGGTCAGTGGATTCAAGGGGCGGCCAACTTGTTGCCCGGCTGGCGCGCATGCGCCCTGCCTCGGCGCGGTGAGTGCGTGCGCGCGCCTCGGTCCCGCGGAGCTCGGCCCGCTTCTGGCCTATACGTTCCGCGGCCTCGGTGGCTCTCCGCGGTCCTCCGGTAGAACCTAACCTAAAAACGACCCGATCGCCCGGACCCTCGCCGCAGTCTAACCAGAGGACGACCAATCGGGAGCGGCGAACTTCTCGATCCGAAATAACGACCATCCGCGCGGTGAAGAGGCCTACCGGAAATAAACTCGTAAATACGTATGTACAGTTCCGAATAAAGGCACAGTTTACACCGACGCTCTAGATACGCGTACTAAAGGCGAAGTTTTAATTACGATGCAATAAATCCACCGTAAATGCCGGATTTATAAGTATTAAGCTAATCAGGCATTTGATGCCGTTTCCACCGATGAAGTATGGCATTAAAAAGTCCTCCGCCCTTGTAAGTCCGGTATTTAGGTATCGGTGGAAATATAGTAACTCTCTGAATGTAAACAATGGTGTACCGAGCGATGCGATACGCACATTGACTATGTCTCCATCTTACTCGAAATCCAGGATTTATCGGGTCCTACCCTAGTAAATCCGTATTTATGTGTCGATCGAGACACACAGGATCGGTCTGCATTAATTATTAACGCGATGGAGACGTATTCATCATGTTGGTATACGGTCGTTTACCCTGACGGATTGATTAATCCACGTCGTTAGTATGCGTATCAAATGATTGGTGTAAACTAAGCGAAAGGGAAGGTGCTAAAAGATCTAAAATCACGACAGAGAATCAGGATGAAATAGAAATCGAACATGGTAATAGGAGTTTCTCTCTTTCCGCAGGATTTTAAATTTCGCCAAATGGCGTGCGAGTGTCGTCGATGTATCGAACCTCGATCCGCCATCTTGGATTTAGAAGAGTTCAGTAACTCGGGAGGGGGTGTCGGCTCGCGTTAATCGACGGGGTTTTAGCCAAGGTTGGTGGATAGCGCGAATTTTGCGAGAGAAAGAAGCATCGTCGAATGACATCGATTGGCCGGTCCTTCGCCGCGACACCGCGGCGCCTTTTGGTACTTCCTTCCGGCTGTCGCCGTCTGGCGCGGCTCGACGTATGAGTGCACGTGCACCGGGCGGGGCGCCTCGCGTGGTGGGGGGTGTAGGTGTAGCTGGGCGCACGTTCGTCAGGGAGGGACGTGGGCTTGTGTGCGGCGCGACGTCGGTGTGCCGCGGTCACGTGGGCTCCAAGGAGGACAATACACAGGGGTGTGGCGAATCGCCCGGCGACGCAGCCCAACCTCTTCCGATCGACGGAGAGGTTAAGGCCTAGTTCAAACAAGCTTAAGGTAATGTAAAAGGGTCATTCTATATATGTAACGCAAAAATATTAATAAAACTTTTCTCCAAATCATTTGAAACTTCACCACGTGATTATGGAGGTTCTAAGAACGTGGTGCTGATGAAATTTCACTTACAAAAAAATATGTGTGTATTCTTGGCTAGATAAAAAAGAATTTGAACAAAAAATGTTTTTCATGAGCACCACATTCTTCCTTAGGACCTCCATAATCACGTGCTGCAGTTTCATATATTTCGGTCCACCCAGTTTGGAAAAAAGTTTCATAAATATTTTGACGTTATGTAAATATAATGATCCTTTCATATTAACTTAACGGAACGGGTTGAAACGCATGTCAATGTTTTGTCGGATCACAGATTTCTATACATTAACCTATCAGTGGGAGTAGACATATGTCAAGGTTTATCTCATTTCGGTTTCCTTTTACAGCTGCACGAGGACTGGGTAGTTTGTAATTTGACGCGTTCAGTCAAAATCGCGGAAGTGCAGATATCACACGATGACACGTAACATTTATTGTTTTCACGAGTTAAATGAAAAGAAACGCCACACTAGTGTTGTGTATTAAATTGTAAAAATAAACTTTCAATACCGGAATTCCTGAACTTCCGATAATTGAGCAAGCCACAGTTAATCGGTTAACCTAACTTCCTAACCTTTCCTGTATCTTGAGATTAATAAGAGTGGCAAGACAAATTGCAGAAACAGAAAATCATTGCAAGGAAGAAAGGAATCGCAAATTAATGGGACACTATTTTCGGTTAATAAGTACCTTGACTCTATGAATATTACGAATTAAAAGTAATAAATTAATTTATTTACAAATTCTCAGAATTCTCTTGAATTCTTTTAAATTCTCTAGGGATCTTCAGGATGCGTAACATCCTCGGTTATATTGCTCTAAATTAAATTCTCGAGAATTTAAAAAAAAAAAACGCCTGGGGTATTTCGACTGACTTGTAGCAGGATTCAATACGCCAATTCCGATGCTCTGGATATTGTTAACCGTGTTCTTTCAATAGGTTAACGATTTTGACAGCTGTCGAATTGACGTACAGAATCTTGCATCTGTGTCCTCCCCATCCTACCATCGGGGGGCGGGAAGCGCGATTCAACTAGAATATCCCTATAAAATGTACGCGTCAGCGCCCCCAAAGAGTAACTGGTGGAATCCTAAATGAGATAAAGCGGAAGGAAGCCCTGGCACATTTTTCTCCAGTCCATACAGCAACTTTTAGCGATCTAGGTTTATGTATAGAAATCTGTGTGGCGGATCAACACGTATCCGATCGTGCTGCTCGGTGTGAGGCGATCCTAACAAGGAAGGTACCTGAGGTGTCCCCCCCTCCGATTTTGTTCATTTTTAAATATGTTATAGAGGACTAAAATCTAAGGGACCCGTGTTTTTTTTTTATCGGCGGATAAACACTTTTAGGGGGTGAAATCAGGTTTCAAGGTTGGCCAGCGCCCCCAAAGAGTAACTGGTGGAATCCTAAATGAGATAAAGCGGAAGGAAGCCCTGGCACATTTTTCTGCAGTCCATACAGCAACTTTTAACGATCTAGGTTTATGTATAGAAATCTGTGTGGCGGATCAACACGTGTCCGATCGTGCTGCTCAGTGTGAGGCGATCCTTACAAGGAAGGTACCTGAGGTGTCCCCCCCCGATTTTGTTCATTTTTAAATATGTTATAGAGGACTAAAATCTAAGGGACCCGTGTTTTTTTTTTTTTATCGGCGGATAAACACTTTTAGGGGGTGAAATCAGGCTTCAAGGTTGGTCGGGCAAGGGGGTGAGTGGGCTGTTTCATATAGAAGCACTCGACCGATTTTCACGAAACAACCGTCAAAATGTAGGGAATGAAGAATTATGAAACATGCATTTGGAATTTTTCGAAAAAATTCATTTTTAAGGGGTGAGCCACCCCTTTGAATACTTCTTTTACCCCTTACGCGAGCAGTAATTGTTCTATCCAAATGAAACTTTTTTTGTATTGTTCTGGTCTATAAATTAACCAAATTTCATTTGGATAGAGCAATTACTGCTCGCGTAAGGGGTAAAAGAAGTATTCAAAGGGGTGGCTCACCCCTTAAAAATGAATTTTTTCGAAAAATTCCATATGCATGTTTCATAATTCTTCATTCCCTACATTTTGACGGTTGTTTCATGAAAATTGAGCGAGTACTTCTATATGAAACAGCCAACTCACCCTCTTGCACGGCCACCCTTGAAGCCTGATTTCATCCCCTAAAAGTGTTTATCCGCCGATAAAAAAGAACACGGGTCCCTTAGATTTTAGTCCTCTATAACATATTTAAAAATGAACAAAATCGGAGGGGGACACCTCGGGTACCTTCCTTGTAAGTTGGTGGATAGGAAGTAATCGATAGGGGTGCAGAGATCTACAGGTGTCCGGTCGATCGCGGCAACCTCGCCTCTCCCCTCGCCTTGGCGAGGGCTCGCGCGCTCTGATTGGCTGCGCGGCTCGACCAATAGGCGCGCGCGTCGCGAAGGTCGTCGCACCCCAAAGGTCGACAGTCCGGGCCCGCAAATCGATCGAGACCTTCAAATTCCGCCGATCGATCCTCGAATACCGCTCGAGAATCGCGAGACTTCTCTCGCGTGGTCATCGAGGACTATCGAGCCAGCAAATTTTTCTTATCTAACCGCCGGATCGCAAAATACCCAATAGACAATTAATTCTAATTTATCGACTCAAGGGCTCCTTGCTGGTGACCTTCGAGTGCCGGGAGAGAACGAAGGTCGCGGGAATGCGCCGAGCCCTGCGCAAAATTCCGCATCGATCGCAGGCCGTTCCCGCCGCGACTTGTACTGCGCCAAAATACGTGGATTCGAGATTAGCCCGGAGCAATAACTCGTTGTTTAAATACAAAGTGTGCCTTATGCCCGATTTTTTCATACTCCCGGATACTTATAAATAATGGGTCACATTAAAAAGATCTGCCAGGTAAGCAGGGTTGGGTACTTTCGCGGTTTTCGGCGCATATTATGTAAACCAAGTAGTTTACCGCTATGACCGCCACGGGCAATTTTAGGCTTGTTGTCGATCGCGAGGCGTTCACCTTGTTTACGCAATGTAACATGGCACGCGACGTTGGCAGGATCGCGTTTCTCAACGGAAGGCTTTGTCGACCTCGGTTTTGATCTCTCGGAGACTCGGGTTTCGTCCCGCTCCAGGAAGCTCCAGTCGGATAAATGGCGTCCTCGTCCCCGGGAGAAAGTGGAGCGCCGTAACTCGAAGCCCTCAGCTCGCCCTAGTAAATATTTTAGTTCCGAAGTCGAGCGACACCTCGTAAACTACTTCCAGAAGGGGCAGCACGTGGCTCGAATGGCGTGTCGACTTGCAAAGGCGGTTTCATTTTTCGAATTCGAGCCAGCAGTCGATTCTGTAACTCGAGCCTAGGGAAAATGCTAAAAGTGAACACCTCACTGTGATTCCGTAACTTTTACTACGGTAAAAGTGTGAGATACTTCGCTCGAGGCTAGTTGACCAGAAATTTCGTTTCGACTCGTTCGACTGGAATTTTTTTCCACTCTAGAGATTTCACATTTTCACTCATAGAATCGGGTAAATAAACTCGTGTGAGATGGCAGAGCGAAAAGTGAATACGCTCGTGAAAAATCGATGAATACAAAATCGATATCCCGATCACGACTGCCTGCTAATTCGGTATTAGTGAGGGCATACATGTATACATGGAATACATATACCTGTGTATTTATTAAAATTTATACATACATAACGTGTAATATGTATTCATACATGCATATTCGTGAATCTAAGGTGCGCGTTAAATCCAAGCAGGAAAAGATGACTGAATACGTCGACTGGGCAAAACGTGACGTCGAAAATGTTCACGATGATCTGAAAAAAATTTGAGGTTATAATTTACGATATTCCTCGGAGGGAGACCTTTCCTTACCATGTTTCGATTGTAACGCGTGGAAATTAAATAATGTCGCGCGAGGATTCAATTTACCTGTAGATGCGAAAATTCTGAGGTACATAATTCATCTCGATGCGGTGAGACGTATCGCGCGAATTCAACGCTCGTTCTTTCCATCAGTGAGTTTACCGGAACCTTTAGAGGTATGCACGAGTGCGCGAGGTTGGTCGAACTTCCTTAACGGCGAGAAAATCCCGGCTCGGGGAAAATCCGATGATGGATGAGAGCTCGTGAGACCTGCAATCCTTCTAGAAGAACGAGATGGATTTTGTGAACACGAGCGTCGTGCAGTGGTTCAACCATAGATTCAACCAACTGAGATCGCGCCTCTACGTGTACCTGCGCGTCCGCCATCGTAAGTCGGCCTTTGAATCAACCAATCACCTTCGAGCTATCGAATAAGGTTATGTAGTGACACGTCACTCAACATTTCTTTACGTAAAATATCTAAACTAAGCGATTTATATAAACAAAGACGCGGAAAAATACTGAAACCTCACTTTTTTAAAGAGTTTTACTTACAACAAATTTTCAAATTATAATACTGCAGAGTGAAGACGGTTATGTTTATTACCGCGCATACGTCCCGTACAAAGAGAATCGGGAATTGTGCAAACAGTCCCGTACTCATGTAAATTACATCGCGTATGAAACTCGTGTCGTAAAATATCTACGCAAACTTAGTGTAAAATAGAAAATTATGTAAGTTATCTAGAGGATTCTACTTACCCAGCCCTGCTATTGTGGCGCCATTGTCTCTCATCAAATGTCGTCTACATTTTTCCATTTTCGCGCGCAAATTCGAAACGCACCACTGCGTCTTTTGAGGCACGATTTAAAGGAGTATTTCCGCTCCGTGAAGAGAAATAAGGAAATAAGCCGTGGGGCGAAGTGAAATGTCAATTTGATTTTGTAAATAGCGTTCTGTGGACTATCTTACTGCTCTGTTTTTAAAAAGAGGGATAGAGAATTTCCGGGAATTTCAGTTGATTTCGGTATCTCCAGCTGGACGTCCAATGAAGGTTATAACTAATCGATTTCAACGTACGCGTGGTTCGGTGAGGTAACGTGGTTACCTCTGCTTCGAAGTCAATGTCAATAATGTGCCAGTCGAAGGTGTTACGGGGATCTGACATATTGTCAATGTAATTAATTAGAGGAACGCTTTAATGCACTTCTGGCAAAGCTGAAATCATGCTGTAAGAACGTAACAGAGTAGGGTGCTTGACCGAAACTGTTTCCTGACTGGCATTTGGTCCTTTCAATCTAATTATCTACCCTGAATATTAACACCGGTCAAGTATAATGGAGTGCAATAATGTCCAGTATAATGTAAACGACAATTTCTATGCCGTCGTTGCAAGGAACACAAACCTGCTGAAAAAGTGGATACGGTCGAAGCTCTCTCACAGTTCTTACTCGTTGAGTGACTTCGATAATGGTTTGTGTAATGCCTGCGACAAAGATGGTTACGTTCGATGATGGTAAGCCTGGTGCTTTGGAGAGTCACGGTGTATTTATTCTTGCAGATGTTAATAGAACGGAGAATGGCGAATCGCAGTCCGAAGGGCAACCTCCCCTGCACTCGCAAGAAGACCAAGAAGAGAGGATCGTATTTGTTAATGCGCCCCATCAGCCTGCTAAATATAATAACAATCACATCACCACGGCCAAATATTCACTCCTTACGTTCGTTCCATCGTTCCTTTTCGAACAATTTAGGCGATATAGTAACTGTTTCTTCCTCTTCATCGCACTTATGCAGGTATGAGTTTGTATTTTTGCTATTGATTTATGTTTTGTTTTTAATAAATGGAATTTCTAATTATTAATTTAATGGATTTTGTTACAGCAAATACCAGATGTGTCACCTACGGGTCGATATACCACTCTGGTTCCTCTCATATTCATTCTCAGTGTGTCCGCCCTTAAGGAAATAGTCGAAGATGTTGTAAGTTTCGTTTTTGTCTGAAAATGTAGAGTCATTCGAGATCTACGCAAGATTGACACTTTGTTTCAGAAAAGGCACAGAGCCGATGATGAAATCAACATGCGCGAAGTAGAAGTGTTAAGAGACGGTCGATGGCAGTGGATTCAATGGCGCAATGTAGCTGTTGGTGACATCGTCAAGGTTTGTTTGACATTTAATAGATTCAATTACACATTATTATTAATTTACATTTATCTTCTACATTTTTATTTAATGTCAACAGGTGCACAATAACAATTTCTTCCCTGCGGATTTGATTCTGTTGTCATCTTCGGAACCACAGGGTATGTCCTTTATAGAGACTGCAAATTTAGATGGCGAGACAAACCTCAAAATCAGGCAAGCTCATTCAAAAACGGTGATGCTCCTCGATACGATGGAGTTGATGAATTTTCGTGCTAACATTCAATGCGAACCGCCAAATAGACATCTTTACGAGTTTAATGGCGTTCTTCGTGAGACCAATAAGCAGTAAGTTTATCGACTCGATAGTAAAATCGACTGTAAGTATTCAAATAATGTAATGCATATAATACTACACAGGAGCGTTTCTTTGGGACCTGATCAGTTATTACTTCGTGGTGCGATGTTAAGAAATACAAGATGGATCTTTGGAGTTGTAATATATACAGGCCACGATACAAAATTAATGCGCAATAATACTAGCACTGCACCACTGAAAAGGTCGACCATTGACCGTCTTACCAACACGCAGATACTTATGCTTTTCTTCATCTTGCTCATACTCTGCCTTATTTCGGCTGTATTTAACGTTCTCTGGACGAATGCGAATAAAAATGGTCTCTGGTATTTAGGTTTAGACGGTGAGTTTTTCTACTCTGTTTTCGAAATCAAAATCTACGCCCGAAGTTAAAGGTTGGGTTAACGAAATTTCTGTTACAGAGGCAATGACCAAGAATTTTGCGTTCAATCTCTTGACGTTCATTATTCTGTTCAACAATCTGATTCCAATTTCCTTGCAAGTTACTCTGGAGGTCGTGCGTTACGTTCAAGCAACGTTCATAAATATGGATATCGAAATGTATCATGCGGAGACTGATACACCTGCAATGGCTCGCACTAGTAATTTAAACGAGGAACTTGGAATGGTCAGTTATGTGTTCACTGATAAAACGGGAACCCTAACGAGAAATGTTATGGAGTTCAAAAGGTGTTCAATTGCTGGTAAAATATACGAGTAAGTCTAGCGAATAATAGTTGCAGTCGCTAATTATATTCATCTATTTAAAGTCGTACCTTTTCTTACCGCCAGTTTACCAAGTCCAACGGCTGAGGATGAAACGGGTACTAATTGCGAATTGGTAAAAGATATAATTGGTGGTAGGATAAGAGAAGACTTCCCACAGGAAGAAGATAGGAAGAGGTCTAACTTTGTTGCTATTTTGCATGAGTTTATGGTCATGCTGTCGGTGTGTCATACTGTGATCCCTGAAAAACAGGACGATGCTATTATTTATCATGCTGCGTCTCCAGGTAATTACGAGAATTTGAACCGTTTAATTATTAACGCCAGAATCCTGCAACTGATATCTTCTTCTAACGTTAAAGATGAACGAGCACTTGTCGATGGAGCACGTAAGTTTGGTTATGTCTTCGATACAAGGACACCAGCTTATGTCGAGATAGTAGCTTTGGGAGAGAGACAGCGATATGAAATTTTAAACGTAATAGAGTTCACGTCAGCCAGGAAAAGAATGTCAGTGATTGTTCGAACACCGGAAGGCAAGATTAAGCTCTTCTGTAAAGGGGCTGACTCGGTGATCTACGAAAAGTTAGCCACTGAATCCTTGGCAAATGCTGATCCTGATCGAGAGGGTGTAAATGACTTTCGCGATGTGACACTGGAGCACTTAGAGATGTTTGCAACGGAAGGTCTGAGAACTCTCTGCTTCGCTGTTGCTGATATACCGGATAACCAATATCAGGTTAATGTCGATATATTTATCTTGACCTATTCGGTATTTAATACCAAAAATAATTTTTATGTCATTATTTCTGCTTAACAGTGGTGGCGTGAGATGTATCACAAAGCAAAAATCAGTACGTCGAATAAGGAATGTAAACTCGAGGATGCAGCTAATCTAATTGAGAATAAGTTGACATTGCTGGGAGCCACAGCGATAGAGGATCAATTACAGGATCAGGTGCATATTTTTCTAGGGGAATGGGAGACCTTCTTTTAATCTATTTTTTATTAATATTATGTTGATCACACAACGATGACAACTTGATTTTAATTTTACAGGTTCCGGAGACATTGCAAGCTTTAATTCAAGCCAATATTAATGTTTGGATACTAACTGGTGATAAACAGGAAACCGCAATTAACATTGGCTATTCATGCAGACTGATTACTCATCCCATGCCTCTTATCATAGTTAACGAACCTTCCTTGGACGTGAGTAATTAAAATCTTCATTTTATTATCCATCGTAAATGTACGTTTCCAGTGGAGTTCTAATGGAGATGGGTTTTAGAAAACAAGAGAAGTTATTATCCAACATTGCCTGGACTTTGGGCAAGACTTGAGGTGCCAAAATGATGTAGGTCTTGTGATTGACGGAAATAGTCTGAAATACGCTTTGTCTTGTGACCTGAGAAGAGACTTTCTGGACTTATGTACCTCTTGTAAAGTTGTTATTTGCTGTAGGGTCTCACCCATGCAGAAAGCCGAGGTGAATATTATTCCCTGGCAAATGTAATGCATCAATCGCAGCTGATTAATTATAGATCGTATCCGTAAATAATGAAACAAAGTTTTACAGGTAGTTGATTTAGTTACGTCCAACACAAAGGCAGTCACTCTTGCTATCGGAGATGGTGCAAACGATGTTGCTATGATTCAGAAAGCACACATCGGAGTTGGTAAGTTGACAGTATTACATAACCTAATCTCAAATGTCAAACGTTTCGCTCCATTCTCAGGCATCTCCGGAGTGGAAGGACTTCAAGCTGCTTGTGCTTCGGACTACTCGATCGCACAGTTTTGTTTTCTAAAACGGCTGTTGTTCGTTCATGGTTCCTGGAACTACAGTAGAATGTGCAAACTTATTTTATATTCCTTCTATAAGAATATATGCCTTTATGTTATCGAACTGTGGTTCGCTATATACTCCGGCTGGTCCGGACAGATTTTATTTGAAAGATGGACCATCGGTCTTTACAATGTTGTGAGTAAAGTTTCTTTCTTATTATTTAATGCCATACCGTGCCTATTGTAATCGATTTTAAATTGTATCGTAACCTTTGTGCAGGTATTTACAGCAGCACCCCCCTTAGCAATAGGTCTGTTCGATAAGGTTTGTTCTGCGGAGACACATTTAACTCATCCACGATTGTATGCTGCGAAAAATACCATGGAGTCTACATTTAATATTAAAGTGAGTAAGCCGAAAATTTCATTAATCTCGTTCACTTCAGCGTTTCGTTTATTTCGTCAGGTCTTTTGGGTATGGATACTAAACGGGTTACTCCATTCGTCTCTGCTGTATTGGTTACCATTACTGGCTTTGGAACAAGACGTAATTTGGGCAAATGGTCGCGATGGCGGCTACCTTGTTCTAGGAAATATTGTTTATACGGTGAGTCACGATGAAGTTAATCATATTATAGAAAGTAATAAAAAGAAAATACCTAAATGTTCTTCCCTCGATTACTTATATAGTACGTGGTGGTAACGGTGTGTGGAAAAGCAGGTCTTATTACCAACTCGTGGACGTGGGTGACTCATCTGGCTACGTGGGGATCTATAATTTTATGGTTTTTATTTATTGTAATATACAGGTAAGACCGAAGTCGACAAATCATGACGTTCAAGCTTGGTAATGTTTTATTTCATCGCACTATTTTTTTATTTTTCAGTAACTTCTGGCCGGCACTAAATGTCGGAGCAGTCATGTTGGGTAGCGACAGAATGCTCTTCTCTTCCCCTGTTTTTTGGCTCGGCCTTATTTTAATACCGTCAGCAGTATTGCTCCTTGATGTCACGGTCAAAGCGTAAGCAGTCAAAAGTTTTTTTATCTTAGATTCAATAATGCAATTTACGTTACATTCTTTTTTTATATCCTTCCACAGAGTGAAGAATACCATGTGGAAATCATTAACAGAAGCAGCTCGGGAACAAGAAATTAAGAAATCTGATCCCGGAGACCTGTTCGGCAATCAAGACTACAGAAGCTCGTAAGTTATTCTTGTCAACTTCCAGCATGACAACTTATGTTATCGAATCGTCCATAATATCAACATGACGTTACCAAGCTTGTTAAAATTATGAGCATGTGTACTGTGTCAAATAATCCTTTGAATTTTTTTATTTTTCATTCGTGATTTTTTTTTACTTTAATCTCGACCTATCTTTTTTCCCATTAATGGTACACTACATTTATTTATTTAATTTTTGTGTTTCATAGTATCATTTACACGTGATTTAATTTGTATTACATTATCTCCGTTTTTGAGAAAAAAGAGATAGTATGATACACCGATCTCTGACCCTCTAATTAACAAACTGAAGTGTAAATGAATATTCAGTATAACTCCTCGCACCCGTCACGTAACATTATCCATGGCCCGTTAAATGTTATTCCGCATGTCTTTAGTAGTGCAGTTTGATATTTCTAATCACTTGAGAATATTTCGCTGAATTCAACGCGCATGGCTTTTTAACGCAATTGAAAAATTGCGATCCAGGGAATGAGAGTCTGTTTCTATTATTTGTAATAAAGTCCAAGATCAATCATGAATTAATTTTATCAGCATCTATGTTGCTTGCACTACTCTCTGTAGTTTAAAGTGCACCTTTATATTTGTCGATGCAGGCCATCAACCAATTAGAACTTGCACTTTTCACAAGACCGAAGAACGTACAAGCAACGATTCCAATAATTCATGCATCAAACACATGTAATGCATAAACTGAGAATGTGTTTGTAATCCCAAGTCGTAAAATTCAGGATAACACTGATTAAGCTGTCAAGATCTCATACTTAAAATGAAAAGTCATCCGCAGTAGTTCTTTTTTCCATTTTAGTAATTTTTGTAATGAGAATTGCATATTGAGTAGTTAATGAAAAATCGCAGCAAGAGACCGAGGAGAAGAAAACGATGGCTAACCGGATGTTGGAGGCCATGCAGAAGACGAAGTAGAATCAGGAGGCTTCCGTTTACGTTCGTGGCACACACAGCCTGGTTCTCGCACCACTCAGGGCATGCAACGTCCGTCTAAAAAAAAATGTCCACGCCTTTTTATCCAAGAAGAACCTATCCTATACACTGGTCCAGATCCTTCTCCAGTTCAAGTTCATCGGAGCCTCCTCAGATTCCAAAACTCATCGATCCTAAACACGAAGCAAAGTGATATCTCATGAAATCCCAACGCCACGTTATGTGCAATATTACGATTTATTATTTATGTATGTATAACCTTTTCGATACATATTTCATCTATACATGTACGTTCGTGTATAGTCATTGTTCACGGAGTAGTGCCCGACGTGTCACACACTTTTGTGCTATTGAGTATCGTGGGGAAAATCAATCGATGTCTGAGCTGCTACGCCAGCAAGCAAGCTGTCGTAGCCAACAGTACGAGATAAGATCATTTTGGGTAATTCATGAGTAGTTACGTTCTTCACATTCGCTTGGATAGCTGTAAGCACTTCAGCTTCGAGAAACTTAGTAAAAGGATCTGCAGTATTCACATGGCCAAAAATGAACAGCCTTTGGCTTGTATCGCTGTATCGTACCTCGATATACGCCAAGGAAGTAGTTAATATGCAGAGTAGAGCCAATTTTTTTTGTAAGTACGATTACAAAGCTGTGCTACTTGTTACAGTAAAGTATAAAATGACATCCGTTAAAATCATGAAATGCAGTATCGTGGTATCGCTGTGATGAAAGTATACATCGACTGTATTTAGTGGATATTCATGCGAATGATTTTCAATGTCACTGTCGTTATCACTTGTTAACGCAAAGTTGTTCTTTTTTTGGTATGTGTAACCACGGTAACCCGTACAGGCCTGTGCATGCCATCGCCGACCTCGCAAGGTGTAAGTATCCCGGTAGTTTCTTCCACCTAGATTCCTGTGTTAGAACTCTAGTTCTGAGACCCGAGTAAACGTGTTGAACGGTGCATGTGTGAACATTACTTACCAGAGCAATCGCCTGCTTGTCGAGGAACGTTGCCACTGCTATGACTCGATTATTAAGCGCCTGAACACGCAACATGCATGTTTACAGCCATTGTCTTGTGCATCCGATGATTAAGAAGGTAGATGGGAACGTAGATCTTAGTCTTTACACGTAGGCAGACATTACCGTTGCTCCATTTTCGTTTACATCTCGCACGATATCAACAAAGAGTTCACAGTTCAAAGGCATCGCAACCATCTCTGCAAGTCTAAAACTCTGAATGCAGAGGAATGTAGATTTTTGTCACCTATGTTTCATGAGTCAATGCGAGTTTTACCATCGAAAACTGTCAAAAGTATCAAATCTCGTACGAGGAGGGAAACGTTGAGGTTATGTCGAGCCACCGATCACTTTTATTTTTGTTATTATCTACGTTATTGATTAAAATTTACTAATCGGACTACCAGAGGTCAGCAAAAAATCGTGAAACATACTCAGAATGAGAACGACATCTTAAAACAACTCGAAATGGACGAATTGCAGATTGACGGAGACGGCTCGGCTACTGAAAAATGTTAAAAGCGTATTCACCAGGCGGTCTAACGCCGCGACCAGAGTTAATGTCGAAGTGGAGCTGTCACGTAAGTGGAGCCTTTTGACAGATGACAAGTTGGAAACGTAACTGCCATTTACGAATACTAAAGACATCGTTGTCATATTAGCATCGTTGAAGTGATACAAAAGGTCCTTCTACTATATATATAAAATGTCTAAATATTTATAAAACTTTTCTCCAAACTGGGTGTACGAAGCCCTAAAGAAGAATGCGATGCTCATGAAATTTGATTTTTAAAAAAAAACATGTGTCTTTGGTTCCAGTATGAGATAAATGAAAATATTTTGTCTTAAACATGAAATTTCATGAGTACCGTGTTCTTCCGCAGGGCCTCCATAATCACATGCTGAAATTACAAACGATTCAGTGCACCCAGTTTGAAAAAAGTTTTAAAATAAATGTTTTGACGTTTCATTTATATAGACTGACTCTTTCGTAGCATCGTTAAAATTAAGCTTTAGCGTTGGTATGTCTTCGTCTGGTGGAAGGTGGAAGGTGGTTGGTTTCTAACGAGTCATCGAACAGCTAATATAGTACACTGTAAATAACCGGTACACCCGTAGATGCTTAAGACAAGGAAATGAACACACGGCTGTACGTATTCCAAAGCTTTATAGCGATCCACCCTAAAATCTTAGTCTGGTATGTGGCACGGTTTCGAGAAAAATGACTTCAGAGCGATTCGCAGGTTCACTAAACGTAGATAGATGATCTTCACCAGAGTTTTTAATGTAATAATAATCCACACAACTTGCCTAGAACAAATATTAGAAATAGTAAAGGTGTGTGCATTAAAAGTCCAGCGATTTAAAAATGTAGCGACAACCTAACTTTACTTATTCACTATGAGTAAGGGTTATGAGACAAAAATTCTGTGGAGTGTTTTAAGATTAAAACGTGAAACCGTTCTAGGACACATATTGATAACAATGTACGGATTGTTTATAAAATGATACGCTCTGAATTTGTGATTAAACTGTGAGGAATGTGCACTCGTGCAATGTATCGAACGTAAGGCCGTTCGGTTTGTGTAAATATGTTTATAGGGTATTTATGGTTTACCTAGTGAAATAATTTATTTTCCTATATTAATGACATTTGATTTTGAAATTCCATTATCCTAGTTTAGTGCGTCAAGACTCCTACTGTTTTACATATTAATATTTTTAATAGTATCGTTGTTGATAGTCCGTGGAATGAGGTCCCATCTGTAGATAATCTAACCTTTACCTTTTCTTCACAGAAATTCGTTTACAAGAATTCAGAAATGGAAAACCGAACGGCCTGTTTAGTTTCTTAATTTCTAAGAACATAATTTTATTACACCTGCATGTCACCGAGAGGTACCATTTACAGAGAATGGTACAGTCTGTGGCGTAAAAAACATACATAATTTCCTTTAGCGAAGTGTTATTGAAACTTCACTGTCCATTTGTAAATTAATTGTCAGTGGTTTTGTGTCAATGTTTGTACACATTGTTCTCTGTTAATGGATCTTTTCCAAGATTATTATATTTATTTTGGAGGATGAATTTAGTAACAAGCTCTTTTTTCATATGCATGCTGACGAGCAGATGGTTTCGCCTTTTCTCAAGAAGAAGGAGGTTCGGTAACGCAGACAGATGTCATAAGAGCCTACGACACAAACCTACCGAAACCTGGCGGCATGTGATCTTAATCTGGTCATCGATACTGCAGAACTCAGCTTCGGAAGACTTCAGGACGAAGTTATCGCTTCCATGACCCGACGAGGAAGTGCTTTATGCCGACTTCACCTCCTGGTTGACGTCCATTAATTTAGAAAGAGAGAGAAACATTTTCTCAGGGGTAGCGAGAGTCTTCTCAAAAGAGGAGACCTTCTCTTCGAGGGCGATATACTTATTTTGTGAGCCTCCGTAAACGTGGAAATCGTCTTCATATACAAACAGTGAGCTCGCCCGGTGGAAAAGACTGGAACTGGATGGAAAGTGGAAGTAAAAATGTCAATTCCAGGGATTACCTGATTTTGTCCTTTGCCCCTTATTCCATTGGAGATGAAAGAAAAGTGACATAAAATCCCTACTAATCTCGTGGACATATAAAGTGGTGAAGTTATTTAAATCAAGAATTCCAATTTGATATCCCGGAGAAAGGATTCATGGCAATTTAATGCACATATTTTTTTAAGGAACTCCAAGGAATTGTGGATTAGGAGAGGGGGATTTTATATATGTCGAGACGTCAAAATATTTATAAAACTTTTAGTTAGCTTCCTTAATCACGTTTTGTAAATATTTTAACGTTTCAATATACATAGAATGACCCTTTCATAATGCCTTAAATCGAACAGAAATATATTCCTGTTTATGGAATTCAATGTAAATCGAAGTGCAAACGGAATAGATGAATTTATTCCTGCCACGTGAGAAATACGGAAAAAATCAGGTATTAGAATGGAAGGAAAAATCGTCCCTTTCACGTTGAAATTCTGGAATTTCAAATCCTATCTGAGTCTTCTTATCGGGCGTGAAGGTGTTATAAAAGGCGTCATATATACCAGAAAGTTGAAACATTGATAAAACTTTTTTCTCCAAACAGGGTGCACCGAATAATTTGAAACTTTAATACGTGATTATGGAGGTCCTCGTGAAGGTTTTGAAACTCGCGAAATTTCATTTTTCGAAAAAAGAAAAATGTATTTAACCCGGACAAGGACCAAAAAAAAATGTGTCGAAAAATGAAATTTCGTGAGCTTCAAGACCGTCATTAGGACTGCCATAATTACGTGTTAAAGCTTCAATTATTGGAGAAAAGTTTTATAAATATTTTTACGTTTTGATGTATGTAGAATGACCCTTTCACATAACCTTAAATCGCGCGAGTAGCGAAATACTCGACTGCGGGTCGGAAGTGCATCGATGCGCTTTCGACCACAACCGTATGTATTTATTTATTTATTTATCTATCCGTCGATTGTAATGAAATAATCTCGGTTGACCCTTGAGTGCCGATACCTTGCGAGTAGTAAATCGTTAAGCGATTAGCGCCTCGATTCTCGCGACACCGACTGTGTATTCATATAACAACTATTTCGGAATTTGTATATTTTGAGAAACTTCTTAGGAAAAAGGTAATGGATTTTACAGGCGCCCTTTGGAATAAGTCGGATAATTCTAGTTGATTTGATTCACGGCGTCTTCATGTATGTACCATGTCACGAGTCTTTCTAACCTCAAAGAATTTTCGCGCGAGACTATTCTTCGATTTATCGAAATCAAGTTTATAGATATTCGCAAAGCAGGCAGTAATTAATTACAACGATCGTGATAATTCAATAAATTGTATTAAATAACGTGGTGAATATTCAGATTGTCAAAACTATTCGAAATCGTTCCCTAATTTGGGGCTCGGTTGACTCTAGTCGTTTTCGAGGTGGATAAGATTTTTGTCTCGCATTTACTCTCCTCGATTTGTTTCCTTCTTTCAATGCATTACGACAAATATATTTATTAGAAGAGAATTACAATTCTATACATCACTACGTTCGGAATAAAATGTAAGGAAAGTACGAGTGACCGAAGTTCATCGCAAGCCCTGGTGTCGACTCCCCTTCTTCCACTTCTTCAATAACTGAGTGATCTCCAACGTAAAGTTTTATTAAAAGATAATAAGTATATCAATAAAGTGTACAAAGCACATGTAGAAATACCAGTCGCTACGTTCGACCGATGTTAATGTATATAAATTCATTTACTACAGCTCCGACAGACACGGAGAACTACATCGATGCAGGTTCCGAGGGACTTCCCGAAGAGGATCGACGAGACGCATTAAGAATGCAGCCATACATTTTAATCAGTGATATTAAAACTATAATGATTTTGATAAAGGGATTTTCCCAATCCCAGTTCATATCGAAATCACAAATGGCATCGGCTTGTTCTTTGAGAAATGAGCATTTTCATTGTCATGCCTGGATAATTGAAAACGAAGAAGTCGATCCATCGAATCAGTGGTGCAGACGAAGTAGTGCATTTGTCAGCAAAGTATATAGAATGAGAACAAAGTCCTCCGTAAGGAAACGAAGTACATGCCAAAGGGAACCATTATCATGGTTTTTAAACGTTGGACCTTGTACTTCGGCAAGCCAACCTCTTGTTCTCGTTTCGAATATTTCTTTGAAAAGTGTATTTGGCCTCGTACAGGTCTTCCGCCGAGGTTTCTTTACGTAGACCCAGGCGGCTCTAGCTTAAAGCTCAGGAAGAAGTTCTCTTTGTCTTCCTTGTACCTAGCTTTCAAAAGAAACTCCCAAGCCAACGAATGCCCAGGAAAATTGTACTTCTGAGCAGACTTTTGACACTCCGTCAACCAAGAGACCACATCCAGGACTCTCCTCTTCCTGGGCTCCATATTCCGAATCCTGGCTTCGTTTTCTGCCCGAATTTTCGCCATGAAAATAAAATTGCGCCATCGACGACTAGCCATACGAGCCAGATATCGTTCTCTGGCGGTAAAAATTAAATTCCCATGTCCAGAAGATGAGATCGGAGGCTCGAGACTCCCATGGCGAATTTTTGTCAAAGCTGCGACGAAGATGCGTTTGGCTAATCCATTGTTTTTAGGATTTACGTCGAAAGCTGGCCTCTTCAAGGTGGTATTTCTCTGTCTGGGGGTGAATTTACTCTGCATGCGTGTCTGTGATGATTTATTAAGGACCAAAATGGACGCATGCGTTCCACGACAAATACTTTCAGAGATTCGCCAAGTCTGACCGGTGGACTTCTCTTCGTCAAGTCCCAAGACTCTGCCAAGTAAGTCTCCTACATAGGGCATGGAAGTGCCATTCCGTTCTGCCTTTTCCCATGCCTTATGGTAATTCTTCGTCCTTGTTGATCTGTATATCTTGCAGAGCCTCTCCATGGTCTCGTACGTGCTGGCGTGATTTTTCCTCAACCTGGACCAGGTCGCCCTGAGCCTGAAAACCGGCGGGGACTGCAGCCCCGCTAGAATGGACCTGCAAATGGTGTTTTTACATTCTCGAAAAATTAGGACTTTCTCAATCAACTGTTAAAGTTTGGATGATATAGCGAAGTAAGAATTATTCATGCCGATTAAATATGCTTTGTAATGTATCTGTATCTGTCTATAAATAATAGTCGAAAAACTTACCTGCAGGAATGGAAGTTGCCCATAAGGTGGCACTTATCGGCAGCATTGACGATCCTAGCCAGCATCCTGGTCCTCATGTCGATCCTCCGGATGGCGAGCAATTCGCTGGCCATCAGACAAGAGATCCTGTGGCTGAAGGCCACCCATGCTCCAAGATTAGGGGCGTTCCTGGAGGACTTCTGGAAAATTAGGACCTCGACCTCCAGCGAGGGTATCCTGAGGAACAGGTCTCTGTCGATGAGCGTCAGCTGACGAGCCAAGGTGGTGCTGTCTATGTCCCATATCGTAACCACCAGGTCCATCCTGAGTAATCTACGTAACTGGGCAGTCGTACTTCCTTCTTTCCTCTCACGAGGGTTTCTTCTGCTTCTTGCAGTCCCCCCGGAAGAGAAAAGACGTCCAAGGATGCAGCTGGACCTCTCCTCGACTGACCAGGACTCTCTAACGAGAAGAGCTTTGATGTTAGTTTCAAATTATTCGGGGCACCCAATTTTGCGGAAGGCTTTATAAATATTTTGACTTATATATATTACATGTAACACCTTAATTTAAATTCATTCCAGACTCCTTACCGGATGCCCTCGCTCTGGACGCTCCTCTTCCGGCGACAGAAGAACCTCTTCCTGCCCAGTCTTTCCTTTTCCACGCGGAAATCCCGCAGAAGAGCGAGATGTTGCCGCAGCTCTTTGTAAGCAGTGGCCGCGGCTCTAGGTCGGTACCAGTATTCCGGGGTCCAGAAGAGGATCACTCTCCCCCTGGTGGCGGCACCCATGGCGCCGCACTTCCCAGGCTCCAGGGTAGTTAGGGACACACTAGCTGCCAGCTGACGACGGGAAACCGGCAGCCTTAAGGTGAAGTGAAACACGTCGAGAAACTTGATCAACGTCGATAAAGAAGATTTTTCTAAATGCCTACGTTGCCGACGTTCGTTTTTATATCGACAGCTGGGTCGAATTATATTGGGTATTGTACCAAATGGCATATTCCACCTGTCGTTTTCGTACAATAATTATAAAGAAATCGAAGTAAAACTTGTGACGGATTTTCGTCCGTCCCAGGACCACGACCGCAGTAGACGATACGGGATCTCCGGGAAACCCTAAGGATGGTGTGAGGAGACTAGTATAGGTGCCGTTCTGCTCCAGGACCCCTCGGCACCCGCGGGATCGAGCGAGGGGAGGGACGTGAGGAGGTCGAGGCAGGGGCCCAGACTCCCCAAAACATCCGGGGAGTGGGACCCCTCGTCCCACGGGGGGAATTCTGCGAGGTCACCGGGAGGACGCCCACCCGGAAAGCGGTACATGGACCAATTGAGTCTCCCAACCGGGTGGAGCGCTCCGACCGAGGAAGTTCTCCGGCAAGGGCCCGCGATCTGGTGAGGCCGGGAGGCGCCAAGAGATACGGGTGGCAGGCCTCGCGCGGTGGACAGGCCACAGCCACTGCCGAGGAAGCCGTGGCATTAGATTAGATGGGTCGTCCTCCACCACCAAGGTCGATCCCAGGGGGAGACCCGCCGGCGGATTCCTCATTGGCCTCGCGAATTCCCCTACCACTTTCCGGGGACCCGGTGACAACCCCCGCGACCTCTAAGGTACCGAACGTTCCCCTTCCCTGACTCGCCGGGTACGCCGAGGGGGAGAAATATGTCTGGATTTTCGGGTTGCGTGGGTTTTCGAAAAGGGGGTCTGACCCGCGTGAGTGCCGCGAGTGCATGTGTGAAGAAGAGGACCGAGGGAGAGGTGCCGGTCGAT